GGTTACTGGGGGTTTTGGATAGTAATTAAAATGGTTATATTTGTGTTGTAGACATGGCGACCCCGGTTCCTATCACCACCACTGTAAAGACAACTGAGACTGTAACTTTCTCTACAACAAGCCATTTTTCATCAAACCACTCTGAATTACCTGTTTACATCGCAAAAAAACATTATGCATAAATTTTGAAAAATTGGTGGAATTCTCCTTCAATAGTACATCCTTGGCAGCATGCCCGAATCAGGGCACTTGCATTCCAGAGGAGCAAAGTGTAATGTAACACACTTACACACAACCATTAGCAAAACCATAAGCCATGAAATTCTGTTAAAACAGTAAAATTGTCCACTGAACTGTATATTTTCTCCATCAGTGTCTGTTCTAGCCCTTCTAACTTGGGGGGCCTCTTCACCTAAACCACACTTCTTCATCCAAATGTTAAACTTTCACACACACAGGCTCCCGAGTGGCGCAACCATCTAAGCGTTGGCCCTGTCATCAGGAGATCGCGAGTTCGATCCCTGGTGATGCTACAGCCATCCGTAGCCGGGAATCCGAGAGAGCACAACTGGCCTGGGTGGGATGGCTGCCCCTCTTCCCCCATCGCTGACTCAGCGCAGGCGTCTGTTAGCTGACGTAACAGATCTGGCGGTTGGCGTTTTCCTCCGAGCGCGTTCAGCTGTCCAGTGACGTTGCGTGAGCGGCAGTTCGAAAAGAAGCGGTGGCGCTTCACAGGTCTCGGAGGAAGCCTGTGTTAGCCTTCACCCTCCTAGCGTTGATAGCATCGTGTGATTGGGGGAGTCCTAACTAGCGGGTGGAATTGGAGACGACTAAATTGGGGAGAAAAAAAAACACAAAAAACTTTCATACACCCCTCAATTCCCCTGTCAATCGTCTGCTGTTAATCATGTACCACTAGTTCTTGTCATACTGTTGAAAAAAATTTCATCTTTAGAATTTAGCTTTTTGAGTTTTACCCCCACAAGCAGACCCCAGCATCACTGCTCAGCATCCACTCAGACCAGCGCAACACACACTAACACACCACCACCACGTCAGTGTTACTGCAGTGCTGAGAACGATCCACCACCCAAATAGTACCTGCTCTGTGGTGTACGGAAGTCTGGAGAGGCCAAGAGGTGTTGCTATCATCTTCTGGATTGTTATTTTGAGATAATGAGTTAATTATCTTGTGATCTCAAAACAAGAAATTTGTTATCTTGAGATCACAAGAAAATAACTAGTTATCTCAAGACAACAGCTTTGTTATCTTGAGATTACAAGATAAAAAACTTTTGTTATCTCGAGATAACAAACATCTAACTCATTTTTTAAGGTAACAACTTTGTTATCCTGAGATAAATAACTCGTTATCTCAAGATGACAACTTTGTTATCTTGAGATCACAAGATAAACATCTTTTTTTTATTGAAATAACAAAATATCTAACTCATTATTTCAAGACAATAACTTTGTTATCTCAAGATAAAAAGATAACTAACTCGTTATTTCAAGATAACATGTATTTGTCTTGAGATAAGTTAATTGTTCTGTTATCTCAAGATAATATCCAGAAAATTAGAACTACCTCATGGCCTCTCTGTAAGTGGGGGTCCTGAGCACTGAAGAACAGGGTAAAAGGGGGCTAACAAAGTATCAGAGAAACAGATGGACTACAGTCTGTAACTGTAGAACTACAAAGTGCACCTATATAGTAAGTGGAGCTGATAAAATGGACAATGAGTGTAAAAACAATGAAGTGCACTAATGTGAGTGACATATTAGTCAAATGATCTCTGTCTGTCCTTCTCTGTCTCTCTATTATCCTCTTTCAATCCATTTCTTCTTCTCTGTCTGTGTGTAAAGAATAAAAATACAGTCCAGCTGAGCTCACACACACACACACACACACACACACACACACACACACACACACACAGAGTAAAGAAACATCGTATGAAGCATGTGTGTTTGCTTTGGCTCCACGCGGCTCGACCTCCAGCACAGACTGAATGAAACAATGCTCGGGTCCCTTTAGGCGTCTCGTTAAAGAGCCCATATTCTACATTTTGTGTTTTTTACTCACTTTCCTCTGAAGTTCACTAATAACATTTGTGTGCTTTTATGTACTAAACCAGCTCTTACACTGCCCAAAAAAGTTCAGACAATCTTTACAGAACACAAAAATCCCTGAAGCAAACCACTCACTTTTCATCAAAACCTGCACTTTATTTTCAAATGATATTTTATTTTCAAATGTTATTCATTATGTATCTGTGTGAACAGTCACACTGTTAAGGTAAGTCAGACAGGGCTGTATAAAAAGCAGCATGTAAAAGATTTGGATTTTGTGTAATGTACAAAGAATTAACTCATTTTCTTCACAATAATTCAGATTCACTACAAGGAGGTGCTGTAAACCCTTAACTTGAGCTTCTGTGCATCACAGAGCTCATCTACTTTCAGTTTGTAATTAAAATGAAGTACTGGGCAGGAATCGGTATCCAAGTTAAGATACTATACGAAGCCCATTACTGTCACTTAAAACAACGTCACAACAAAATCCAGCACCTTATTATTAGTTTTTCAGTGATACTAAGTCATTATTTTTGAGACACTATATCATTTTTAAGGTGCTAAGTCATTATTTTGAGATGCTTTATGTATATATGTATAAACGATGAGATAACATCTTAAAATAATAACTTAGAATCTCAAAATAATGAGAAAGTTTCAAAATAATGACTTCGTATCTCAAGATTATTAGAAAGCATCTCAAAATGAGAGAGTCTCAAAATAATGACTTAGTATCTCAAAATAATGACTTAGTATCTCAAAATTATGAGAAAGTCATCTCAAAATGAGAGTCTCAAAATAATGACTTAGTATGTCAAAATAATGACAGTGTCTCAAAATTATGAGAAAACATCTTAAAATGAGATAGAATCTCAAAATAATGACTATAGTACTCTACAGCTATCTCTGTGAAAACTCAAAATGAGACAGCATCTCAAAAGAATGAGAAAATCTCATATTTTACAAATACAAATCTCAAAGTTTTGGGGTTAGCCTTAGCCAAACATGGACACCAGACCTTGCTTGTTTCCTCTCGTATCACCTGAAGAGCTCCCTGACTCTGTCAGTTGCACTGGACAATGTTGAAGCCTCGCACCTTTGTCCGACTGCCCGTCCAACAATCAGTGGATTGAATGATTGTAATATTTTCAGAATCTCAGCAGTGTCTGACGGTCAGAGGCTTGAGTCTACAGGCCGCACATACAAGACAAATGACTTGAGATATTCAAGCTGAGGCTGGCTTCTTATTCAAAGAATTCCATTCCACCTTAAATGGTGCAGCAGTTACATTCAGAAGCCAGCCCAGGCTGCAGAATGTAACTGCTGCAGCATTTAAGGTGGACTGGAAATTTAAAAAAAAAGTGTAAGAATGGGATATTTATGTAGATTTATGTATATACTGCTCAGATCTGATTCTACTATTGTGCAAAATAAAAGTATCTCAGATTTGGTTGTTAAAAATGGTTCTTATTAAAAATTATAGCAACGGTTGCTACAAAAGAAGGCACATCAATGTCCCCCCCTCTCTTTATCATTCAGAATTAAACAGGCTGTTTTTGTTTTGTGCATTTAAGATACACATCACTGCAGTCAGACCAAAACCTCACATCTCCAAAATAGAAACTTTACAGGAGAAGGAAAAAACCCACTTTACTTTTAATGTAAGTCAATGGAACCAGACCTTTTGTCCAAGTAATTTTGGATCATTTCTTTTGGTCCATTTATCATGAAATTTACATACATTGTAAATGGCAACAAGTATTTTCAAATTATACCAAAAACTGAAAAATGACAAAAATGGAGTTATGCGGTTTCGTTCCAATAGCAGCGAAATAAAGGACCTCCGTTCTGACTAGCTGACACCCTTCACTGCTATAAATGCTGTAGATCATATGTAGATGCAGCATCACAACCATGATTAGTCCCAAATGGGCTTAGACTGAACAATATCTTCTGAAACTTCAGTGTTTTAATCAAAAAGCGAGGAAAATTCGTTTTTCCACAATATGAGCGTATTAATACAAAACCACCAGCTCACAGCTGATTATCTGAGTTCAGACAAAGAGCTTCGAGCTGGGCCTGTGATGTTGGTGGGAAATATTGGTGGGTTTGAGGCTGGCAGCCCCGACCTGCACTTTAAAACGTTCTGGTCATGCTGATTCTCATGCAATAGTAATTGGAATCAGAATCAAGAGGCTTGAAGGGAAGGCATGGAAGTCTACTGTTTGGGATGTAGCGGGAGAGAGAGAGGGAAAGAAAAAGAACCCAAGCCAGAAAAACGCCACAATCCCTCTTCCTCTGAATCCAGCCGGACTGAACGAGACACGAACAGTGTTGCGGAGTTAAGCTGGACAGTAAGCAGACGCTTCCCTCCGTCTGACTCCCAGCACTTGTTTAATGTAGCACTTGGACTGGAGCAGAGATGGAGGTCTGATAGCGCTGGTGAAGGAAACGCTGGTCTGCTCTTGCTCTGGGAATGACTCTCTGGGCTTCGTCAGAGCGGGTCTGTCTGGATACTCCAGGAAAGTGCTGGAGGTATCAAAGGCTGAACGTGTTCCAGCAAACCTCAATACATGAACTTGACCTTCATACACGAGGCCTTGTACACTTAAGATATGATTAGAGAGGTAATCCAGAAACCGAGACCAGGAGGGGTGGGATAAGGATGAAGCGCCTCTTTGAGGGCTACACCTCATCTGCTGGATTCATGAGTGTGCCCCTCACCCTCTTTCTACTTTATTAAGATCATTAAAGTCAAATTTAGGAGATAAGTGTACACAAAATACTGCAACAGTGCTGGGTAAAGGTCAGCAACCACACTTCATTCATTTACTTTCCAGTCAAAACAGTCGTTAAGTACAAATTATTAATATTTCTCTCAATCACACAATACCACCAGCGCCAGGAGCAAAACCTCGTCTTACCTGAGACACGTGCTGGTCTGGCCTCCAGCTCTGGTACACGGATACTCCACTGTTAGAATCTTATTATCTGGACACTCTTCACTGCCAGAAACACAAACAAAAATACCATAATTAACAACAGATTCTCAGCATCTCATATAATAACACTTCATACAATTATCTAACTTCACATGACGGCTAAGTTATACAGTCCAGGCTAACAGAGACAAGGGAAAGGGAAAGAGGGAGAGAGAGAGAGAGAGAGAGAGAGAGAGAGAGAGAGAGAGAGAGAGAGAGCGAGAGAGAGAGAGAGAGAGAGAGGAAGGAAGAGAGAGAGAGAGAGAGAGAGAGAGAGAGAGAGAGAGAGAGAGAGAGAAAGGAAGAGAGAACAAAAGAGAGGAGAGAGAGAGAGAGGGATATTATATATTATATATTATACATTATTATATAGGATATACATTATTGTACATTATTATAGGGAGAGAAAGAGAGAGAGAGAGGGAGGGATATTATATATTATATATTATACATTATTATATAGGATATACATTATTGTACATTATTATAGGGAGAGAAAGAGAGAGAGAGAGGGAGGGAGAGAGAGAGAAAAGAGAGGGAGAGTGGAAGGGAGAGAGAGAGAGAGAGAGAGAGAGAGAGAGAGAGAGAGAGAGAGAGAGAGAGATAGGGAGGGAGAGACTTTTTGACTTTTAACCCCCTTTTATTGAAGCATTAATAATTAAAGAATGTTACATCCTAATAGTTATATTAATAATAATGAGGATCCCCAAAGAAAATCCACCCATCCACAAAGATTCACCAAATGATATCACCCCCAGATCACTGACAGATACAACACTTTCACCAGCTCACCACTTTTCCTCAAAACAGGAAATGTTCTGAGTGCTTTGGTAAAAGACAAACTCAACTCTAATGCGCGATTCCACCAGAGCTCGGAACAGTTTCAGAACATCCACCTCCTGCCCTTCAGACACCGACCTGAAGGACTTCCACACTGATAACTTCGCTTGTCCCACTAAAAAATTAGCCAAGGTACATTTATAACGCTGAGCTTTGGAGTATTTACAGCCAAAGATAAACAGAGTCCGGGTGAACAGAAACCCCAGCCCTCTGAGCGCCCTGTCCAGGAGCTCGAGCAGAGGAACCAGTCCTCTGAGCGCCCTGTCCAGGAGCTCAAACAGAGCAACCAGCCCTCTGAGCGCCCTGTCCAGGAGCTCAAACAGAGCAACCAGCCCTCTGAGCGCCCTGTCCAGGAGCTCAAACAGGATCAGCCCTCTGAGCGCCCTGTCCAGGAGTTTGAACAGAGGAATCAGTCTTTGACAGTCGGAAAACGCATGAAAAACAGTATCTGGGTTATTACAGAAAATGTAAAATGGTTGAACAGCCGGGTTAAATTTTGACACAAACCCATTTGTGGGTACAGCACAGTGAAGGATCCTCCACTGGAGGTCTCCTGACCGTTTGGGCAAGGGGCTTTTGTACAAGAGCCTCCATGAAGGCCGCAGACCCTCAGGGACAGAGAGATGGGCTCTCCATTTGGAGTCACATCTCTCCTTCAGCTCATGAAAGTGCAAGTATTTAACACAGCTCAGGTACAGAGCCTTCTTATCAGCTGTTGAGAAAGACAACTTTTGTAACCCACTCAGAGAGAGAAGTTGCCCCTCAGTAATCCCAGGTTCGGAAACAGAGGGGCTGACAAATAACTCTGGAAATAGCATTTCGGCCAATCCACCAGCCAGAGCACCAGCCACAAAAGCCTTCAGAGGTGGAGGGAGAGAGAGAGAGAAAAAGTATATATATATATATATATATATATATATAGAGAGAGAGAGAGAGAGAGAGAGAAAGAGCAGATAAATGTCACATTGATCCTGAGCTGGTCTGAGTTCAGGCTGTGGAGATTAGCAGCTGCTGAGAGATTGAAACGGTCAGAGCAGGAAGAAGCTTCAGGGCTAATTAGTGAAGAGGTCAAAGAGCACAAAGAGCACAGACCCACTGATCTGCTTTACTGTGAAAGATCTAAATCACATCGAACGAAGGATTTCAGTCAAGGATTCACCTTCCTAATGCAACGCAACCCAGTTTCACTGCGACACAGAGATGCTCACTATCCCTGTTTCAGCATCAGCCACACTTCAGCATTAACTCCGTCTGACAACTTTGATTTTTCAAAATGTCTGGTTGATATGAAGTCATTCAGATTGGTGGGTTGTGAAACGGTTCATTTGTGGAGAAGCATACTGACAGATTTCTTTACAGTGGTGGTGATAGGAACCAGACGTCCTGATGTCCACAATGCAAATTTAGCCAGTTTACTTACTATCCAAAGTCACCAGTGAGCCTACACATATTTATATTTATGTACTGCTGATGGTAAAATAGTGGTCATAATAAGTTTAATAAGTTTTATAAGTTTAATGACTCCCTTCTTGTATTATTCCACCATAAAGTGATTAATATAAATTGATTACCTTTTAGACCAAAATATCTTAGATCAGAAGTGTCACCACAAAACTGCTGTAAAACAATGTCTCAGGCCTCAGGCAGTGGATTCATAACCATTCATTTAATAACTTTCCGTGAGGGAGCCTTTAGGGGCATTAAACTCTTCAGACGTCTGGTTCCCATCACCACCACTGTAAACAATTTTGACTCGGTAAGTTTCTCTGGAATGAAGCATTTTACGCCAAACCACTCTGAATGATCATGTTGACATGTTAACAAAGTAATTAAGCAGAAAATTTGAGGAGGGCAACCCCATTAATTTTTTTCAGTTGAATTGTTAAGATACAAACAAAGTCATTCAGAGTGGTCACGCTTCATTTGACTGAAGCTGTTGTTCACAGTGGTGGTGATAGGAACCAGATGTCTAAGACATTGTTTTGCAACGGTTTTAAGGAGCTTTTGGCCTAAAATGTGTTCAATCACAGGACTGAATTTATTAGAGACAAAACTCACATTTTAACCACATGAAAATGTTCATCACATTTGTGCTCGGGCAAACGTGCGCGCCACATGGAAGGATATTTATAGTGAGTCTTAAAGGGGAATTCCACCGCTTTTTCAAAATTGCTGAATAATTTAACTGAGATGGAACCAAAGTCGTTCAGAGGGGTTTGATGTGAAATGCTTCATTCCAGGGAAACTTAATGAGTCTGATTTTCTGAGGTTTTGATGCCTACAGTGCAAATATAGCCATTTTATTCATTTACTATCCAAAACCACCACTGAACCTACATTCAGCTACATTACCTACATCATAACCTGGGGACTATGTTGCCTCACAACGCCCTGCATGTCCCTCTCCACCATGAATGGATTAAAATAAATGGACTAAAATACATTTGAATTTTTGTATATTTTATCATTGTAATACATTTCTGTGAGGGAGCTTTTAGAGGTGGACGTCTGGTTCCTATCACAACCATTGTGAACAGAGGTTACACTGTAAATACAGCCAATTTATTACTACAATCCAAGACCACCAGTTAGCCTACACCACATTACCTATATTATAACCTACTTCTGATTTTTTTTTTATTTATATTCAGTGTTTATGATAGTAAAACAGTGATAAATCTCAAAATAATATATTTATTTTGGGGGCTATTTTGCCTCACCCTGCCCTGCATGCCCTGCCTGTAAATTCCACTGTAGGCCAAAAGCTCCTCAAAGCTTCTGCAAAACAATGTAACACAAATCAGGCAGCACATTAATAATCACTTCATGTAATAACTTTCTGTGAGGGAGTTATCAGAGGCATTAAACTCCTCAGACGTCTGGTTCCCATCACCACCACTGTAACCAGCTAAAGAAGAGCATTTAACATCAAACCACTCTGAATGACTTTGTTCACATCTCAGCATTTGTATTATGTGGACAACTTCAAAAAATGGATGGAATTTCCCTTTAAGGTCAATATCTCTCAGAGGTTTAAGCCTCTAACGTCAAAGTGTTAGTCATGCAGAACTGAGAGTCCGTTCCCACGACTTGGGCAGCAGATTAGCAGAGGAGAAATACCACAAATATAAAACCTTCCTCTTATAAAAGTCTCGTTACTCTGATAAGGAGAATAAAACGACACAGAAGGTTAACAAACTTGAGTATCAGAACTCCTCTACAGAACCGCAGGGGAACGTCTTAGCACACCCAGCACCTATCAGCCCTTATTCTGCTCTTATCTCGGACTAAAATGAAAAGCCTAAAGGGGAATTCCACCAATTTTACAAAATTTCTGAATAGTCTAGTCACTGAGATGTAAACAAACTCATTCAGAGTGGTTTGGGGTGAAATGGAAGATTGTAAAGACTCATTTCTCTACAGTGGTGGTGATAGGAACCAGGGGTCGCCAGGACAACACAAATATAGCCATTTTATTTACTATCCAAAACCACCAGAGAACCTCCACGTGTCTTCTGAGCTTTTGATGTTGATGATGGTACTATAGTCATAAATCTGGAAATTATGTTTTCTTTGGGGACTATTTTGCCATATAACACCCTGTATGTTCCGTCTCCACTATGAACGGATTCAAATAAATAAATATTTAAGCCAAATTTTAATCATAAAAGAATGTGTCAGTCATCAGGCAGTGCATTCATAACCATATCATGCAAGAACTTTCATTGAGGTGGCTTTTAAAGGTGGACGTCTGGTTCCTATCACCAGCACTGTGAACACAGCATTTCACACCAATCCACTCTGAATGACTTTAAATCTCAGCTATTTATTTCTATAGAAATTTTGGAAAGTCGGTGGAGTCGCCCTTTAAGCTAATAAGCGATATAGGAGAGCAACAGCAGGTTTAATCAGACTCTCTCTCGGCTCTTACCTGTCGCCGCTGGAGAAGCACGTGCGAAGCAAAAACACGCCGGAGAAGAGGAGACAGTGCGCGAGAGACGCGCGAGCAAACCGGGACATGACGCTCGAGCGCGCGAGCGTTTACAGTCAGAGCGGGAAAAGGAAAAAACGCGAAGAAGATGAGGATTAATTGGAGATTAATTGAACGTTAATTAGACATTAATTAGATCGTTTAGAGATGGAGCCCGAGCGCTGGGTGTCCGCGTGCTGGAGCTCCCGCTGAAGTTTTGCTGAAACTCCGCATCCCGGCAGCTGATCAGGACGCAGTGACGTCACCGAGCGCGCTGCAACGGCACACGGCTGCCGCTGGAGGCGCTAATGAGATAAAGCCATTTAATACAGTCGGATCCTGTTTCAGCCCAGACATCAAATCACCCCAAGAGGGAAGTTCTCAGACACGGGCTGGGAAAGAACCGGACTACTTACAGGTTCTGCATCCCCAACAAGCCTAAAGAGACACATTTCAGCATTTTTAATAAAGTATATCTGTAATTCTCTCTGGTCAAAACTGACAGGAGGGGAGTGAATCAGAGCTCCGCTTGTTTTCTGATTGGATCTTCGTCTCTTTTCTGCTCTCAGCTCCGTCCACTCTTAAAAGATGGTTCTTTACGAGTTCTTTAGTAAAGAAAATGGTTCTATGTGGAACCATGAACACTCACAGAACTCTTTGTGTGATTAAAGGGTTCTTTGCATTGTTAAAGGGTTCTTCAGACTGATGGAGAATGTGCTGTAGAAGGTTCTATATAGAACCGTTTTGAATATTTTTCTGTATAGCATTAAAAATGGTTCTTCTATTATTATGATGTCAAGCTTGTAACAAAAGAAGAACCTTTTTGGTGCCTTTTTGGTGGAGAATGTGCTGTAGATGGATCTATAGATAGAAACTATTTGAAAAGGGTTCTAGATAGCACCAAAAAGCGTCCTTCTTTTGTTACAGTCTTGACAGGAAAGAGACATTGTAATAACAGAAGGACTTTCTATGGTGCTATAAAGAAAAATATCCAAACATGTTCTATATAGAACCATCCACAGCACATTCTCCAGAACCCTTTCACGATGCAAAGAACCCTTTAATCATGCAATGGGTTCTCTGAGTGTTCATGATTCTTCATAGAACTATTTTCCTTACTAAAGAAACTTTGAAGAACCATCTTTTTTCAGTGTGTGTGAAAAACCTTTTTTGTTCCTGCTATTTAATTCTGTTTGCTATTTAATTCTAATGCTGCTCTTGAATATGTTGTTAATTATTTATTTTATTTGCTAAACATGTTATTTATTATTTATTATTATTTATAATTTATTATTATTTATAACTTTCAAATTAAATTGCAAAAATGTTGCTGTCTGAAACAGAAATGGTGCATCAGATGGCATCGCTTAAAATGATAAACATCTGGAGCTTTGCAGCACATTTTGAGTCCCTAAATGTGTGGTTTTCATTATGATATGATTTATGATATATTTATTTATTTATTTATTTATTTATTTATTTATTTATTTAAATGCATTTCAATTTGTTATTTTAGATTATTTTATCTTTTCATATTTCAGATTATTATATCTGTTAATTTACCCATTTAGTGTAATATTTATGTGCGTTGCAATTGTTATGAATAATTGCATCAAAAAATAGTATTTTTTCATATTATGATTATTATTATGATGATGATCATCATTATTATTAATAATAATATTATAATTTACTTTGCTTGATTTCTATATTTTGTAATGTTTTAATTTCTCTATCTATCTATCTATCTATCTATCTATCTATCTCTCTGTATATATATATGTACATATCATACTTGTCACTAAGTATATTTTAACTTTGCAATAATATAATGTACAATATAATAATAGACAATAACCTCTAAAAAACAGTGTTGCAGTCTGATACAAGGTCATGTAGTATGTTTTACATTCATCATCATCAACATAATTCAGTAAAACGTTTTATAAAGTTTGAGTTACTGGCTTCAATTGAATCCCACATAAAATTCCTCATAGAGAAGATTCAGCTTTATATCTCAATAAAACCACCATAATAGTTAGCATCCCCATAACGCTTAACAAAATTAGCCACTCTTCAACCTCACATACTGTAACGTTAATTAATAGTTTTACTGTCTCATTAATGAGGAACTGAACTCAAATGTCTCTCATAACTCTTGTGTTACCTTAAATGTGAGAGAAATGTCCAGAGGAAACAGCTGCAGCAGGATGCCAACCTGTAGCTCCTGGCATTTTGTGTGTTGTGGTTGTTTAACAGTCCTGGTATTATTTCATCATGTTGGTCTGTGTTTTTAAAGGATAGCCAAGGTCACTGAAATGCTAACACTGCTAAAAGTAGGCTAAACGATGGGATTATTTAACATCATGCAGATTAACTCCAAGCTTTCATTGTTAGCCACATTAGCATTTTTAATGCTAGAATTATTCATTTATGGAAAAGCTCAAAGTCTGTGCTTTCTACTAAAAAGGTCAAATCTACTTTATGCACCACAAGGCGATTTTTTTATTGTGTATTTCTGGCCTGAAATGACTTGTGGATAGGTTTTCCTTCTGTTGAGTCATCAGAACCTCACTAGAGCATTGTAAATGTCATTTTTGACTGTCCTCCTTGTGTCTGCTGGGCCACACCCCCATAGTTCTGTTCATGATCTGTAGGAAGAACCCAAAACCCCATAACCAAACCCACATAACCCCAACCTCACACATACCACCCTACTCCTCCACACCAAACATGACGAATTAAAAAAAAAAAACTTCTTTTGTTTCAGTCCTGCTTGAATAAATACAAAAAGCAGCATTATTAAAGGACCACAGCTGTAGAAATGGGAAATTTCCAGGCCTTCGGTTCATTATCACCAACCGCACTAGCCAGACTGCTTCAGTTCCCACGGTTTCGCCCTGCTCGGTTTGTCCAGCTTGGGTTTCTGGGGTTTTATTTCGGTTTCTTGTCAATTTCAACTTTAGCCCTGATAAATGTGTTTCCCATAGAGGGCTGTGGGCAAAGCCAGCTGTGAATGCAGTGAATGCTCAAACACACGCACACACATAAAAGCCTTTACACACCAGGCCTTCAGATTTTACATAAGACAGAATGACTGTGTTGATGACGTCCTTTAAAGTGTACATTTAGAGCTGTGAAGAAATCAGAGACTACCTTTCATTTATTTCATTTCCAACCCAATATGAGGGGTTTACATACGAGATAATCCACGTGCACTGAGCGGAGTCGGCAACACAAATGTTAAGAAGAGCCATTTTGTCCTTTCGACAAATATCAAAACACCCTGGGAGCCACCACCCCCTCTTCTGAGGAACAATTTTTCTTTATTACTGGTATTACAAATTTCTTTTAGCATGTGCTGTCATCGTGTAGAGAGAGGACAACAAACTGCAAACATACAAGCAAACAAAAATTACAAGAGGGAATAAAGGAGAAAAAAAAGGTAGAAACTGGGAGAAGAAAACAGACATATAGAACATGTAAAACAAAAACAGAAAAAAAAGAAAAAGAAGAAAAAAGAAAACAGAAATTATAATATTTGTACCCTCAGAGAATGAATTGAGCTATAGCTGTTTTTTATACCTGCCATATATATTTATTTGTGTGTGTGTGTGTGTGTGTGTGTGTTACCATCTTGGCTGTAAATATGTCTCAGTAATGATGTCCTAGTAAAGGATAAAAAAATATATAAACAAAAACACAGACTTACTTTACTCTGCTTTAAGCTTTAGCTCAGCCATAGCTGCTTTTCTCACATCTCCAGCAGGAAACTTTTCTGCAAAAGTGGAATAGTTTCTTGTAAAATGTCTCTCAACGTTCGATTTACGAGATTAAAGTCAGCTTCTCATTCGCCAGCCTCTTGTTCAAATTTTCCCATTCCAGCTTAAATGGAAAAGAACATAACTGCTGCACCATTTAAGGTGGAATGGGAAAATTCGAACAAGTGGCTGGCGAATGAGAAGCGACTTTAGCCTCATGACTTCTTAGTGTTTGACAGTTTCTCACTGCAGATTAAACGTATCAGGAAACCAGCTGGAGTGATTATAAATGCAAATAAGTCCATTCGTCACCAAATTATTGATGTTTGTCTTAAATCTCTATCTTTGCCTTTACGTTAGCTACGTTGCTATGGTAACCAGCAGTCTGCGCTCCAATGGAGCCGCAAAAGGACAGTAAAAGAGCTGCATGCAGCTCCAGAGCCGCATGTTGCCGGACCTTGTGCATAATGAAGGGGAAGTTCAAAGGAAAATAAATGAAAAAGCAAGAGTTTCCAAAACTGGAGTTCAAAAAGTGATTGAGATATGGAGAAAACTGTGCCCCATCAGATAAACAGCACTGAAAGCTTTCATCTCTGAGAGAGAGGAGAAAATCAAGCTGCTTCAGATCTGAAAACATCCACAGGTGTTTCTGTCCATCCTTCCACTGTGAGAAGACAACTCAGCGCTGTGGGTCTGAAAGGACGGTGCAAAGGAAATAGACACAGTACTAGAACACCAATACTGGACATCTGGGGTGTAGAGTAAGGCTTGATGGACTGATGAGTCTAAATTTGTAATTGGGATCATTTGGATTGTGAGAAGCAGAAAATGCAACCAACTTCTAAGACTGAACTTTGGAGGTGTGTCTGCAGATTTCTTTAAACTGAAAGTGGGTCTCCAGAAAAGAATGGAAGCTGTAATAAAGGTAAAGAGTGGACACTCTAATTTCTTAATAATTAGATATTTAGTTTTTGAGTCTGTGTCTTTTCTGTTAAACCTATGCTTCCTGCCTTTTGTCCTGTTGCTAAAAAAAATAATAACTTGTATTTAATTATCATTTTGACTGGAAGTAAAAAAATGGGTGACAGTAACATGACAAAAACATATGAGGGTTAGGATTAGGTTTTGGGTTGAGGTTAAGGCTAGGTTTAGGATTAGAGCCAGGGTTAGGGTTAGGATTAGGTTTTGGGTTGAGGTTAAGGCTAGGTTTAGGATTAGAGCCAGGGTTAGGGTTAGGATTAGGTTTTGGGTTGAGGTTAAGGTCAGGGTTAGGTTTAGGGCCAGGGTTAGGGTTAGGATTAGGTTTTGGGTTGAGGTTAAGGTCAGGGTTAGGTTTAGGATTATGCCCAGGGTTAGGATTAGGTTTTGGGTTGAGGTTAAGGTCAGGGTTAGGTTTAGGATTAGGCCCAGGGTTAGGATTAGGTTTTGGG